TCAGGCGCCCCAGGGGGGGATTGCAGCTGCTGCCTGGAGAGGTGGAGGCCCGGGCGCGGGCTGCCAGGCGGTTGTCGCGCTACATGCCGCACCCCCCAACCCCCGTTCTCCGACCTCCTGGCGAAGTGACTGCCCTCGTTGCGACCTCCCCAGGTCCTGCCGTCCACCTGGCCTCAGGCGTAGGCCGCGTCCTCCCGTCAACTGGTGGGAACTGGAAATGAGCACAGCGCTCTGAGCTCCCGCCCGCCACTTCCGGCTCTGTGTGGCCGCCGCAGCCCCAGCTCGGGCCAATAGTCACGGTTTCTGAAGGGAAGCCCAACGTGTTTCGTATACTTGTTTCTCTACCAAAATGGTTTCTTCTCTGACTTCTTTCAAGGTTTTCTATTTGTTGCTAATCTTCTCAAGTTTTAAAAGATACCAGTGTCTTGCTGCCAATGTCTTGCTATTTGTCCTGCTTGTTCTCTGAGATTTCCAGGATCCTCACACTGGGGCATCAGACAGAGATTCAACATTCGTGCTTACTTTGACAGAAGTGAACATGAGGCTGACACTTTCCCTTTCTCTCTGACAGTAGGTCCTGCCACAGGGCTTACTCCTTAGCCCTGATGGGAGCTCCCTTGGATGGCCCAGAAAGATAGGGAGGGATTGGGGCTTATGCTGCTATCCCGGAAATCCACACCAACGGGCTATGATCAACACAGTCAACCCTCCTGGAGACTTCACAGGGACAGCAGTTTCTTGCTGCCATTTTCTTGAAAATCTGGGAGATGTCAACCAAGCAGCTGCTTCTCCTATAGTTGGTCAGTTGTCACCACGATACCTTGGGCAGTTGCTGACCCCCTAAAACTATTTCAAGGAAAACACTTCCAGGGGTTTGTCTCATTTCATTGTGAATAGTGAAGTTGTTAGGGTCCATATAAAGCTCCCAAATTCAAAGGGGAAAAGTTGAGGCCCAGTGAGGCAGTTGCTTGGTATGCCAGAGAACAGTCGAATCAAGTTCAGGAATTGGCCTGGGCACCCTAAATTCAGATCTTAGACTCTCACTGGTAAAGCAGTGGCCAAAACATAGAGGAATGGAATAAGAGGTACAGGCTGTGTCCGAACAGTTCCCTGCCACCCTACCAGGGCCCAGCTGTCACCAGAACCCTAGCTTAGCCTGCAGCTGATAATTGTCAATGTGAACTTCTTTTACCAATGCAAAGACTAAAGATCAAAACATCAAATTAACACAATTGGTGACAATAAGTGATGAGGAATATTTCTAGTAACTATCTCAGTGTTGATTGTGATCACCATTATCACCTTTTCACAGTTATGGTTGTTACATTATTTTTGGGGGGAATTTCAATGCAAATACCAAGGGTTATTTACTTAATACTCAAATTTTTAAAACCTTTTAAACAGCAACACAAAGAAAAATGAGTCTGAACAAGAAAAATGTTTTAGACAAGTTGATAACATATATTCTTTGTTCATGTTTCTTTTGGAGTGAAATTCCATGTTATTCACATCCACGTGTAGAAGATAATGAATTACATGCAGCAATCACCCTATAGGAATGAAAAATAAAAGTGGTTCTAGGTAACCATTTCATATTATACCTAGCATCTCAGGCATTCGGCAAATGGAAGAATTTTGGAAACTCTTTTTATATTCTGTTTTATGAAGATGTGTTCAATTACCCAGTGATACAAAATAATTTAAAACATTTATAGAAATATATTGTTTTATTTCACCCTTGAATGTTTCCGTACATTCTCCATCTCCCTTTTTATCCACATTGTCCTATAACAATGTGGTAGGATTTCTTCCTTTAGCCCAGCTTATGTACTCCCCACACTGAACAAGCCAGCATACATGCCAACAAGCTTTCTGGTATACATTCCTGTGAATTTGTTGAGATTTTGGCTGCATGATACATAGTGTTTATATCTCAGAATTTTAAAACTGCTTTTTTGAAGTAATCCTAGTTTAAACCCAAGCTGTGACGACTTAAAAAATGCTTTTCACATAATTCTAGCTATATGTGGTAAAAGGGTGCGGTCATCATGCTTGGAGTCAGTTTGCATGGGTAAATGAAAGCAGGGAAAGAATATATTACAACTAAGAGTCAGACATAAAAGGTTAGAACAGAACAGAGCTTCTACAGAGCTATGCATTTAGTAACAGTTGACTTCAAGAAAGGTAGAAGAAGGAGCCATTTTGACAAATGGTTCTGGACACTTATAGTGCACAGGAATGGTCCCCAGCTGTACCAAAAAATAGAATTTTGAGTCACACTTCTTATTATATAAAGAATAACAAAATAGATAAAAGACTAATGTGAAACATAAATCAATGACATTTCTATGGAACAAAATCTTTGTGCTCCTGGGTTAGGCAAATGTTTCCTACAGAAAACATCAAAGCAAGATAAAGGAACAAAACTGATAAATCAAATTTCATCAAAATTAAAAACTTGTTCTTGAAAGACATTATTACAAGACAAAAATAGAAGGTACAGATTGGGATAAAATATCTGCAAGTGATATATCCAAAAGTACTTCCTTTCAAACTATAAAGAACTCTAAAACCCCATAATCTGAAATTTAAAAAAAATTTTCCAATTACAGTCTAAGTGATTGGAAAAGCATTTCTCCAAGGAAGATATCTGGACATCTAATAAGCACACATAAAGTTGCGGAACATGATCACTTATCAACTAAATAAGAATTTAAAACCAAAGGAGATTCTACTGCATACTAGTGGAGGAGCTAAAATTTAAAAGTCTGACAATAAGTTGCGTGTGGTTGCACATCTTCTAATCTTAGCACTCAGGGAGGTTATAGCAGGATAATCACAAGGTTGAGTCCAGCCTGTTAGATTTAGCAAGACTTTGCTTTGAATTTAAAAAGGGATAGAGATACAGCTCAGTATGAAGGCCTAGGTTCATTCTCCAGTCACACATGCACGCGTGTACACACACACACACACACACACACACACACACACACAGAAACAAATCCAACCAAACCAAATGTTGAACAATTGTACAACCAGAACTCTTTTGTACTGCTAGTAGTATAATCACTTCAGAAAACTGTTTAAAACAGCATATTTAGAAATGAAGCGTATCCCTAGAATGTGGTGCGGTTGTTTTATTCCCTTGTTCATACAAAATCCTTAGTCCTGTTACCGGTCCCATGGATACCAGCAGTCAAGGAATAGTCTAGAGAAGTAGTGAGGTTCTGTCCCCAAAGCTAGTCACCCTAGCTGTAAATCCAAAGCCAGATATTGTGGTTGTGGCCATGTGCAAAACACCTGGGTTCTTACTAGAGGCTGGTTATTAGTTGGTGACTGGAATATCCGTGTGGAGGGTGCAAGTTCTGTTGGGCTACCACTGGATGACTGGGTTGAAGGCCCACTTAGGCCAACAGCTGAAGCTGAAGTTGCTGGGTTCCTCTCAAAGAAAGAGCTGCCGTGTTGCTACCCAAACATAGGCTGAGAGGGTGACTTCTTCTGTATTAGCTTTGAAGGTTGCAGTCTTTGTACTGACTGTGCACACAAAATAGTGGGGACCTGGGCTAAAGCCATGCTGCTACTTGGTGATAGGTTCCCAGAAACAGGAAATGCCCTATAAGATGGGCTGTCATTGTCCTTGGAGATGGAAGGATACTGGAAGATGATGGACTTGGAATGAGGAAGTATAGTGTTGGTGTTAATGGCAAGCTTAGATGGTGACATGGCAGAGGCGAGTGGATGAAGTGAATATATCATCCTTGCCGGGAAGGGCTAAAAGAAGAAGGACACTGGGGACAGAAGTTTTCTGTTGCTTCCCATCAGGGCTCACAGATGTGGCCTGAGGAGTGATTTCTGGACCAAAAGGATGGTTAAAAATTAGGATAGGGCAGGGAACCCTAAGAGTAGATGGGCTGGTGGAAACTGGTCCCTGTGCTAGATGCCTGTGCTGACTGCTGCTTGGTCCTGGGGAAATGGGCAAGAGCTCATACTGGAGGCTGAGGGAGACCTGAACATAGTAGATTTAGAAGGGGGAGCACTATCTATGTCAGTGACTTGGGGCTGTAATGGTGGACACCATGTCTGCAGTGCAGGTGCATCAGGTGCTGTGGCATAAATGAATCCCTTGGAAAGTAATGTGATCAGAGTAATGACTCTTCCTTTATTTTAAAATATTTTTCTTATAATGCAAGCTGCAGGTTGGAAACTCAGAGAAGCCTAGGAGAGGAATCTACCCACATGGATGTTGGGCACTCCCTTCTGCAGGAAGGAGGGTTGAAGGTGAAAAGTTCAGGAGGAGGAAATGTGGGGAGGTAAGAAATGGGAGGAATGGTGGCTCTGACTTGATAAGGAGTTTTTATCTTCTTAGGCTGAACCTCCAAATTGGGACTGGACCTAAAGGAGAAAGAAGGTCAGCAGGAAGTGCCAAAGTAGAAGAGCAAGCTGTGGGTGTTATACTCTTGTCCCTATTTGGTATAGATGGGGGAAAATTGACAGAGGCACAAATAGGGTGGGAGTCCAGCAACCTGGTGTGCCCAGATGGTGGTGGTAGGAATGGCTGGGCTCTGCAAAGTGTCAGCAGCAGGGACACTGAGTCTGCAGTCTCGATGCAGATAGGGAAAAAGAAAGGGCAGGTTGAGGGGCAGTGTAGACTGCCATGACCTCTGTTTTACCTTCCAAAGCCTTCACTTTATCTCCCCAGATCTTGTTCTGTTTTATTTTTTTCAGTGATCAAGTTGTGCTCAATACAAGGAAGCTTAAGAGGTGGGGGTAAGGTAGCTTGCAGTAGTGATAAGAGGCAGTGGCCCTGATAGTATTAGCATCCTCGGCTTGGGGCATTTTTCTTTTACAGAGCCTGTGAACGTTGGCTGTGGGTAGAGAATAGCTTCTTGGTGGAGTGACTGAAGGCTTTTTCCCCCTGCACTTCCCTTTCCTGATCCCTGGGATCCTAGAGCATGACTGGGCAGATGGTTTCCTCCTGAGACCCAGCACTGTACCCCATGGAAGTTAGGTCTCCCTTGGTGTCCAAGAGGCTAGATCTTGCTACTTCCCCATTGCTGGGGGGCCCTTTTTCTCATCAACCTGCCTCCCTGTCTCTTTGGGAACCCCCTCCTTTACCATTCCTTCCTTAGGCTCTTCTTAAGCCCTCACCTCTATGTCCTTTGGGCAAAGAAGGGGGAAGTGACTGAATGTCAGGAGCTCTGGGCCCTGGACAATGGCAGAAGGCATCTGCACTGGGGAGGAAGGTTCCCTATGGCAGTGGAGGGCTCTCACATGTGGGAGTGGGGAGCTGATGTTGCAGATTTTTTACCTAGACATCAAGGGAGAAGTCTCCAAAGGGAAGACTACATACAGCCTGCTGGATAAGGGCACTGTAAATGCCATTTGGCAAAGATGTACAAAGGGTATCTTTGTTGAACATCTCGAAAACAGGGCAGAGGGAGGTACAGGAATAGTGGGGTAATCCTGGCCAGACTGGGGAGCATGATGGGCTAGGATAGGAAAGAAAGGCCCTAAAGAGTAAAGGGCTAGGTTGATTGGTCCCCTGGCTATACTTTCTTGAAATCTTCTGGGGACTTCCCACTGTTCCTTACAAGTGTTTGGCACCAGATGGGCCACTATATGGGGACTGCCGGGGTCCTGAGTCAGTAGAGCTCTTCAGTTCAGGGTGCTGGCTGTTAAGGCTCCTTAGTACCTGGCACAACACACCAGCTTGGGGACCCAGTGCCTATGCAATGTTGTTCCTCTCCTGGGGAAGGGGAGGCAGATGGTGCTAAAAGCCCGATGTGAGAGCAACCCAGGTCCTGCCAGGCCCCTCCAGGAACATTTCCAGGCCAGTGTCAGGGCCTTGGAGCTTTCCGAAGTACTCCTACCCCTCCACCACTCCCACCAGCCCTTTCCAACTCTCACCTTCTGCCTTGCTCATAACAAATTAAAAATTTTAAACTGCCAGCTGTTTCTACAGAGTGTTTTCCCCGTCACATTGTCTTCATGTCTGTTCCTTTTGCGAGCTCCAAGGAGGCTCTGGGTGGGGGTGGTGTCACTGGGTAGGACAGGGTCGGGGTGCGTGGAGTTTTTTTTTCTACTTCAGAGTTGGAGAATCTGAGGCCCATAAAATTAATGTCTATCTGGATTTTAGATCTTGATCTATCACTACCTCCAGGAAACCCTCATGACCTCCCCTAGACCCTGTCAACTTATATGTTCTCATAAAGCCAAGTTCTTTTGTTGCAGAGAACTAGTCTCAAATTGTCATTATTTACCCATTTATTTGATTTAGCTTATGTCTTTCTGTCTCTGGACATGCAGGAGACTCTTGAGTGATACTGAGTGACTGAAAAACAGTTTTGGTTCCCAGGACAAATACTGGGAAGGAGGTGTTAGTGGTATATGGAAGAGGCAGCATTCTTGTCTCCACTTGGGGGATGAAGAGTCCAGGTATCTTCTAAATGGAAGTGATGTCTTGGCTGAGGCCTGAGGCTTGAGTGACGGTTAGCCAGCCGGAGCACCAGGGAGGGGCACTTCGTAGAAGGCACTAGGTGAGCCTGAGGTGGTGCCACCTTTGCGAGTCCGAGGGTCAGTGGAGATGGCAGCTTGGGAAGGGGTTTGTACTCTGTCCTGAGGGCCTGCGGTGCTTCTGAGTGAATCAGAGTGGGCACTGCCTTCCCTCTGCTCATTCCTTTGTACCGAGTGCTGCCTAGGCATCTTTGAGTTACCCTTTTTCTTTTCCCTCACTTTCCCCATAGGCTTGTTATTTGTAAAGTTACCCTGCAACCCTCTGAGACCCCTAATGTAGCCATTCTGCTCTCTGTGAGTTTCTAATGGAGGTAGGAGTCAGGCTGCCTGGTGGCCGTATCCCACAGACAGGGCCCTGGGTCATCATTTATCCTCACCCCACCAGTCTTCTGCTGTTCTCCACCTGGGGCCAGCCGCCCGAGGCCCAGGGGGAGCATGGGGTGGTGGCTCAGCCCAATGGAGGCAGCAGTTTTAGAGAAGAAGAGAGTAGACCTGTTGACATTAGTTTAGGCCTACTTCCTGGGTGCCATAGGTCCTGCACTGGGAACTCTCAACTAGGGGTCCCTATGGCCAAATCCAGGCTGACGCATCCGATTACTTATGTATCTGCCTGATACTTAAACTGAGTTTTTTTAAAATTACATTTTGAAAAAGTTGTAAGCATAAAGGAGACTATGTGACCTAGACTATATGTCGCCTGAAAGTAGGTTTTCCAGATTCAGGAAATAAAAATCAGAATGCCCAGTTAAATTTGAATTTCAGACAAACAGCCAATAACCCATGTAATACCCTATGCAGTGTTTGAGACACACTTTTACTCAAAATGAGTCTCTGTCTATTTGAAATTTAGATTTATGGTCATCCTACATTGTATCTGGCTGCCCCACAAAAATCCTGAAAGATTTGCTGATACTCTAGAAAAACTCTCCCAACCTCAGCCTTGCACACATCAGTGTGCTCAGAGATGAAAGAGTTCAGGGCACTGCCCAGCCTGGTGCGCCATAAGCATTAAGGCCAGGTGTTATTAATATAACCAGCACAATTGCCAATATAAAGCATCTACTGTGTGCCTAGGGGCTTGAGGTTTTCATGGGAGAGATTGGGCAGTAACAGGTGCCCCAGGGCCGTGGGGAGAGTCAGTCCTTAATGGATCCTAAGAAGGAAAAGCAGTGTGGAAGGGGAGCAATGGCGTGTATGGGCCCTGTTATAGACAAGGTCAGTGAGCTCCTACCAGAAGAGTGGGGAGAGGGCAGTCTGGGAGCTTTTACCTACCCGTCACATGCCTGTCCACCTTCTGAGCATCATGTATGTGTTGCTCATGGACTCCTCGCAAAGCAGCCCTGGAAGATGGTGTGGGTATCTCATTTCACAATGAGGAAAATGAGGCTGAGGTCACCCTACATATGACAGATCTGGAGTCTGGACTGGGTCTGGGGCTCCTAAGGTAGTGATCCTACTCGTGTCCCTAGAGTACCTCCTTGGATTTGGTGCCAGCTGTGTGCTGGGTCCTCTTGGAAACTATCTGCCTGATTGTCTTTAATCCTTACAACAGCCCTGCACCCTGGTATAGGTCCCTCAGGACTTTGAGGGCTCAAATGTGTGTAGATTGAGATACGCACCCTGGTCCTAAAGCCGCTGACCCTCAAAGGTGACCACGACGGATGACTACAGTCAAGTCTCCACTGCCCTCCTGACATACCCTATAGGACACCTTAGACAGCAAATGAAGGGTGATTGTCTTTTGGCCTCATTGGAGAGATTCACAGTGTGTAGTTGCCCAAGGTCCTAGAACACAGTCTTCTCTATGTGCCAGGCACTGTATCACACACTAAAGATGCAATAGTGAATGCTCTTGTGCTTGCAGAGCTTTTAGTCTGGTAGGACTCGAGGAGTAGAGAGCCAACTCCAACACATACCCAAAAGGTCCAAGGAGAAGATGAGAGTCCATGGGCACCGCGAGGTGTGTGGCAGACACTTAGGAACAATCTAAGCATACACAGGAAGTGGCTTTCAGGTATCTCTCAGCTGTGACCTGGAAAGCTGCCTCTCAAAGCCTGCCACCTCCTCTTACCAGAGGCTGAGGGCTGTCTCCAAGCAAGGCTTAGGATCTCTTGAGTCTCTACCACTTTCCTGGATGTGACTTTGCCTGACCCCTGGCACACTCCTTTTGCTTCATCACTTCCTCGGGTCTCCTGTCTTCTGAAAAATTCTTCCAAGCATCCCCTGAGAGCTGGAGGACCAGCAGGTCTCAGGAGCAATCTAGGAAATGATTTCCATGGAAGAATGTGCTCTCCTGGCCTGGCCTTTCTTCTGCTGGATTGCAATATCTAGGGCCGGGAGGAGAGGAGAGATTTGGACCAGTCCGTCCCCATGCTCAGTCTCACCATGGACTAGAAACTCTCCTATTACTCCAACAGTAAAGCAGGCCCCTCAGTGGCCGGGTCCTCTGGACAGCACTGAGGCCAGGCTGTGGGTGGGAAAGCCAGAGAGAGGATCCACACTAGAGAGGGATCCAGTTTACATCCAGGACCTACTGACATCCAAGAGAGGCTTGGGATTCTGAAGACTCCTGTAGACTCAACACAAGCTGAACCCTTCCTTTGTTCTGGGTGGAGAGATGAAATGTTTCTTGATCAGGGTCGTCTTGCCTCCCAAGCTTGCAGACAAGGGACCTGCAGGGTTCCTCTTCTTTAAGCACAGAGTGGAGTGATGAGAACTTGACAAGAAGCAAGACTTGAGAAGGAGCCCTGGGGCAGTCAACTTGGCCTCTACTTTCTCTTTCCTCTTGCTGTTTCTGGGAGCAGTGGTGAGGGTGGGGTGGCCTGGGCCCCTTCCTTGCAGGACCTGCATTCCCCCATCAGCGCTCTTCTCCTCCCTGTCCTAGATCTGAGGGTGGGCATTCCATGAACTTCTGAGACAGGGCTAGATGGCTGTGGGGCTGTGACTCACAGCCTCTTTTTGTCTCTGTGATTAGATCTCTGGCTGGTGGGTCAGGGTGATCCACTTCCCAGCACTCCTCTTCCCTAGGAGAAACTGGCAGGCTTTCACTTAGAGAAGGGGCTGGCAGGACTCCTGGCCTTTCTCTCACTCCTCACTTCCTGTCCAGGGCTCCCAGTCTGGCTCCTATCCTCTCTTGCTCTGTAGGTAGTACTCCAGCCACAGCTTCCAGTGCAATAAGTGGGCGCTGTGGCAGAACTTCAAGGGTCTGGATGGACAGGCATTGGACCTGCCCATCTGGGTCAGGGGTGATGGGGTGGCCCTTGGCTTGGTCGGATGAGGGTGGGCAGCATGGGATATAGGCGCCAAGGTTGGCTTGGAAAACTGGTCAGGAAATGCCAGGATCAGTTATCCAAAAGAGAAATGGAGGGCACAAATATGGGCATGACAGGGGTGCCAGGTTCAGCTTAGGGAACAAGAGAGTGGGGCTGGATTCCACTCTAGTGAGACAATTGCACAACAGGGTGCAGCATCCTCCCCTGAGGGACCCAGAGGGCACAACCTTCTCTGTTCACAGATGCATGCATGGCTCCAACATCCAAATGTGCAAATGAGGGTGACAAAGGGCAGGCTTCTCTAGGTCACAAGCCAACCGGACCCTCTGCACAGGGTCAGAATGGGGACCAGGAACTTTTGAGTTGATGGTTGCAGATGGAGGTTGCAGCAGGGTATACCGCTGTGTCTTAGTTGGACCCTGGGGAAAGGATGAAAAGGCATGTCTAACCTCTTCCAAAGAAAACCTGGTCAAATATGCAAATTGGGGGCAAGGCCTTCAGGGGGCAGGACTAGGCAGAAGCGAGAATGGGGCCGACTGAGCAGGATTTAGAGTGGGTGCCACCACTTCCCACCTGCAAACCTCAACAAATGTAACTGTTTGCAAAGATAGTGATCATTAGTTGCTCTGCTGGGGTCTGTCTGACATTTCCACTGAAAGACGGTGACCTTCAGCCACAAGCTACCTGGGCTGGTGAGGTGGCTATGATAGTAACTATGAATGCTTTTACACAGCACTTTCCCTGAGAAGTACCCTTCCTATTAATGGGAGTACTCGTGGCGTCATTGTCATCTCCCTCAGGGGTAAGTACTATTAGTACTCATCTGGAGATGAAAAAACCGAGGCTCTCAGAGGTTGCATACAAATGCAAGGAGGCTAAATATTAATGCGGAGATACAGAGCCAAGAGCTGGAGCCATTATCTACTGTGGGTACTCCAGAATGTGGGTGTGTACCAAAGTTCCCACCTAACTCTCATCACTGTACTTTTCCTCCTCATGCCCTCCTGTTCCACGCTGCAGTTCATTCCCTACACCCTTCTGTGGTTCGGCCATCCTCAGGGACAATAAGGAGGTGTCCAGACCCTCCCTCTGAGCACCACACATATACATGCAACATTTCGAATTATTTAAGGCCAAGAGCAAGAAATCTCCCCTCCCTCATGCTACACTCCAACTCTTGCTCTAAATCTTTGTCACTAGCCTCATGTCCACATAGCCCCTGGGATGCCTCCTTCCCTGCTGCTTCCGAAGGGACCAAGGACCAGGACTTCTGAATGTCTCTTCTCTGTCGCTTCTGGGCCACACCTTGACAGGATACAGGTGTGGCCTCTCTGTCATGTACACATGCAGGAGGCCCTCCCTGTTCACCCCTCCTCTACTTCCAGCTGCCACAGAATGTACAATCTCACCTTTTCTGTCCTCGGCTCAGCAACTTTGGGCGAGGCCTGCCACTCCATCTCTGGCAGGGTAGAGCAACGCACGCAGCTTCCTCTCCATCTCCCTATTCTCACTCAGTCTCAGCCACAGTCTCACCTCCCAGCCTCGGCTCCTGTCCCATCTATCTAAACACCGTCCCACCAGGAGTCATACTATCTGACCCTTAAGGACACTGTAGTGAAAACAGCACCTCTTCTATGAAGTCTTCTGCCCCTGGCCCTACCAGAATGAACACCTTTCCTCTCTGTATTCCTTTAACATGATATTCCTAATAAGGTAGTGATGGAAACCTCTAACACTGACCTTATGGTAGGTACTTTTGTAAGTCTTCACACATGATACCTAATTTAACCTTTTCAGCAACTCAGTGAAGTAGGTAGTATTAGTATTTCCCTTTTCCAGAATAGGAAACTGAAACATAGAGAAGTTCACTAACTTGCCCAAGATTGTGCAGCCATACTGCCTTTTTAAAGCCCAAAGCAGCATTGACTGTACTATATCAGAGTTAAGTTCATCTCTACCTCGATGAGGGCTGAGATCATGTCTCCTTCATCTTCATCCCTGAAAAGACCACGTGAGATTCCTGCCTGCTGCTTCCTGAGAGCATGGGAATGGTCAGGGGAGTAAATGGACAATGTTTCCACCAGTCTGGGACACAACATAGACCAATTTTGACCTAGGTTCTGGGGTAAAGAGAGGAGAAGGAGAGTCCTCATTACCCCAGCCTCTGGGAGTCCACGGTGGTTGATTAGCTCTTAGAATGTGATAGTTAGTTGTGATATCAATTGGAATGGATTAAGAAATACCTAGCAGATCAATGGAGTACAGTTCTGAGTGTGTCATGGATGATTACATGTAGACCAAGAACCAAGGAGGGAAAATTGAGCAAGGATGTGGATAGGAATGGAATAAAAAGCCAAAGAAGGAAGCCTGCCCTTTTGATTCTTTGGAGGTGCTCCAGTCTTCACCATTGCCTTTTGACATAAATCTCCAGTTCTTTCAGCTTCCAGCGCAAACTCTTCAGCCTTCCTACACAGACCCTTCCTTTGACTTTCCAATGTGGACTTGCACTGAATTTTGCCGTGAGCTCCAGGCCTTCAACTTTCAGCTGGGTCCTCTGGCTCTCTAGTGCATAGATAGCCATTTCGCATTCTTCTACCTCTGATTCTACAGACTACTTGGTAGTAAACCTACTTAGTAAATCATTTATGTATATAAATACATAATATAATATATATTAGACATTTAAATATTTTATATTAAATCTGTTCCTATGGTAAACCCTAACTAATACAAATGGCAACAACTCCTTGCTCTGGCCAAGCTGGGATTAAAGAGTCATTATGAGGAGTGTGTGTGTGTGTGTGTGTGTGTGTTAGGGTGCAAGGGCCCAGGTACCCACAGAGCCTGCTGGTCATTGTAGCCTTTCCCTTAGGACATCATCCAAGCATACAGAGATGAGTCTCACTCCCTGGGCAATATATCAGCGTGGGGCACTGGGAGATGGGCTCCTCCTTTTCCATGTCAACCATCACTTCCATTGGGAAGGGTAGCAGGGGGCCAGAGTTCCTGGGTTGGGAGAATAGCCTCTCCCTGAGGGGCAGTGGGCCCATTTGCCTATTGGAAGGACTCCTCAGGCTTCTCACCTCTGAGTACAGTCAGTTCTGTAGTACAGGCAACGACTGAGTAAATCTTTGCATTTCACCCAGATCCTTAGGAATTCAGTACAATGCACAAACCCTAGGGGGTCTTTCTGCCCACATAGCCTTTCAGGGAGCAGAGGATCTCCTGATGGGACAGGAGGGCCACCTCTGGGCACGCTATATGTCACAGTCGTCCTGGTTAAGTCTGCCAACAATGAGCCCCAGGGCTAGGGGTGTGGGTGCCAAGTAAGCAGGGAAAAAGGAGAAGAAGTCCAAAAAAGAGGCTCCAGACCATGATTTTAGCACTGGTGGAGGAGCCATCCCACCTATCCTCCTACCGCCATCTCCAGAGGGCTCTCCCCAGCTCCCTGGCATGCCCCTTACCCCCGTCCTCCCCACCAGCACCATCCTCCCCAGGCCCTTTCTTCTCCCTGGCCCAGCCCTGCCCTCTAGAGAACTGAAGGGGAACTTCTCCTTCGGGGGACCTGGGGCTGCTGTGTGGAGGAGAAGCACCACATTCTACAGCTCTAAAACCCAGTAAACAGTGCAAGTCAGCTACCTATGCCCTCTGCCCTGGCCCCCCAGCCCAGTCCCTGGCAGCCTGACACCACTGGTGACTTAGGCCAGGGCCTTCTCTTGTGACCAGCATTCTAGCCTTTGTCTTCCCTAAAGGGGCATGGCAAGAGCACCCAGAGGACACTGCATCTAGTTTTAATGGGGCAATACTTCCTAGAAGTGGATTTCAGGGCTACCTGGGAGCTGCGGGAGTCCTTGGGGTAAGCATGCTCAGGAGACTCTCACACTCCGTGCCCTGGACCCCCCAGAAGGACTGGATGGGATGGAGATCACTGATCTGTACATTCCCAGGTTCTAGTGCAAACCCAGCATGCAGTGGTTACTCAGCAAATGCTGCCCTTTTGAGGAAGCCCATTAAAAATGCATTCAGCCAGCACATACCAAGTTCCAGAGCAGCAAGAGACCTTGAAGCATAGTCACCAGGGGCCATGGCTCCTGGGAGATAGAGGACTTGGGGGCACTCTGGAAGGGAAGGAAGGTGGACTCAGAGGCACAGCAGCCGCTGCCTCCTGGACACCCTATGGACCAGGGATCAACATCCTGCAGGAGCTGCACTTTCTGAAACAGGGCCTGATAGCCATATGACTCCTTCTGGGCAGCAGGACAAGCTTGAGCCCAGAAGTAACTCATCATCAGTCAGCACTGGCTCAGCTACTCACCAGCACACTTGTTTGTCTACCCATGTGTTCAGCAAATACTTGCAGCACCTAATGTGGGACAGATATTGTTCCAAGTGCTGAGGACACAGTGATAGCTAAGCCTAGCAAGTCCCTTTTGTCGGAAAGCTGTTATTCCAGTGTGAGAGGATGCATGGACACACACACACACACACACACACACACACACACATGCACAGACAATAAAAAAGTTGTGGGAAGTACATGCAGAACAGGAAAGTAAGTTATGGGGTGTCATAGTGATGGGGTGTAGATGGTAGACTGGTGGTCACTGAAGGACTCATTGAGGCAGTAACATTGAAGCAAGGGCAGGAGCAGGCTATGTAGATATCTGAGGAAAAAAGCCCTCTGCCATCAAAGGCAGAGGACGCAAGGCAGGAGAGTGACCAGTGTGTTTGGGGAGCAGTAAGGAGGTCAAGGTGGCTGGAGATGGTTGGAAACAAGGACTGAGCTTGGAGATAGCACAGAAAATTCCAATCATGGAAGTTCTTGTAGGGCCCTCATAGGGTGAGGGGCTTCCAGCAAGGTAAAGAGGTGACAGCTGGAAGACAAGGTGAAGTAAGAGGCAGTGTGGATAGGGCTGTGGCTATCCAGCATTTAATAGATAGGAAAGGACTTCATGGGTGTCCGCACGCTGGCCCGAAGAATGACTCAGTAATGGGGAGGGGAAAATTCCATTTAATGCGGCAGGCCTTCATGGGGTCCTCCCAGAAAGGCCTTCATGGGGTCCTCCTCTGAATTCTGCCACCCAACTGGTGAGAGCTGACTGAAAAGTAACCCAGGGGCAGAGGATGTAGACTCCTATTTGGTGAGGACACAGGTTAGGAAGAGGAGAGGTCAATGAGGAGACAGAAGGGTATAGACACCTCATGGTAGAGGACTGCCCCTTCCTGGATGCCAACAGAAAAGAGAAGTCTCCCTTTAGAACAAGGTGAAGAGAAGAGTGGGCTCAAGAGAAAGCCTCTGAATGGAAGCCAGTTCAGTAAAGGTCAATTATCCATCCACCCATCTGTCCATCCCTCCATCCATCCATCCAATGTTTATTCAGTGTTTGTCTATACTAGATGTCCACTAGGGCTCACATTCTTCAGCACACCACCATTGCCTTATTTCATCCACTGTAGGTGGATATCAACATTCCCATTCCCGTTTTACAGGTGAGGAAACTGGATCAGAAAGATCAAGCCACTTGTCCAAGATCTCACAGCTTGTAGGGGGCAGAGCAGGGATTCAAACCTAGTAAGTTTCTTGGCCTTTAAATCCCATGCTCTGGACTTGAGTGTGCTCTGGCCTCTCTCAGGACCCCTCAGTGGGCTGGAATGGAGTAACCACCAGTGTTGATGCAGTTGAGGTGAGTGCACGATGTGTGGGTGTGCTGGCCCCACCTGGGAAGCAAGAATGTTGGCCATGATGTGGGGTGGGATTGGCTGCATCTGTTCACTCATTCATTCATCCATTCATTCATGTATCTTTTTATTCTTGCATTCAACATACATTTGTGTACCCATTTATCATACTTTCCAGCATCCACTGAGCATCCTGTGCCAGTAGCTAAGAATAAAGGTGATTACAGCACAGTCTGCTCTTGTGGAGTTCACAAGACACAGGGAAGGCAGACGTGGACACAAATCATTTGCACACAGCACGACTGTCCTCAAAATCTTGGCAGAGTGCTGAGAGTCCTCAACGAGGAAACCTCTCCTGGAGTTGGGGACTGGAAGGGTCACCTGCAGGTGGGCAAGGAAAGGCTGTGTACGTTGGTGGAGGGAGTGCCATGTTCAAAGGCACAGAGGAACTTGAGATTCTAGGGAGGGATGGCCCATGAGCAGAGCTGGGGAAGCAGGGGCACCAGATGAGGCTCCTGGGTACAGTGCGTTTGCACTTATAATTTCAGCTACTCAGTAGGCAAGGCAGGAAGATCACTCGAGTCCAGGAGTTCAAAGCCAACTGGGGCAACATAATAGGATCCACCTCTTCAAACGTTTAAAAAATTAAAAGTTGAAATTTAAAAGGAGGATATAGAGAGAGAGCTGCAGGGGAGAAGAATGTGCAGAAAGATAGGGTTTCTGTGATATCCCACTCTCTTTCCTCCCTTGTCTTAATGACCACAGGCCCACCACAGTTCAAGTGCTGGAGATTCAGTGGTGTCGAGACGAGAGCAGTCCTCACAGAACCAAAGGTCAAGTGAGGTGGATGTGATGAACAGGTCACTGGACTGGGCAAGGAAATGCACAGGAACTGCAGGTACTTGAGAAACAGGAGCTCACCAGGCTGAAGCACATTCGTGTGGTAGAAGTACATGGTGGCTTGAGGTAGGCAAGAGGAATCTTTCTTAGGATCCTTTTCCAGATCCAGCTTCCTCACTTGTGTGCTTTCTTGTCAGGGAGCTGATAGAGACTGGCTCTGAAGGAACACAGACCATCTCCTGAGGTTAACCATCAAGAATTTTATGTTTATGTCAACACAATTCATAATAGTTAAAGCTTGGGAGGAGCCTTATGTATCTATCAATAGATGAATGGACAAAGAAGTGTGACATTTACTCATAGTGGAGTACTACTCTGTCATAAAGAAGAACACATTTGAGTCATTTGTAGGAAAATGGTTGCACCTGGAGACTATAATATTACATGAAATAAGTCAGACATACAAGTTTAAATATTACATAACTTCTCATATGAGAACCCCAAAGTATAGACACTTTTAAGAAAACAGAAGCTGGGTATGGTGGCACATGGCTGTAATCCCAGTACTTGGGTGGCTGAGGCAGGAGGATCGCTGTGAGTTCGACACCAGCTTGGGCTACATAGTGAGTTCCAGGTCAGTTTCCACTACATAGTGAGACCCTGTCTCAAAAAAAAAAAAAAAAAAAAAAAAAAAAAAAAAAAGAAAAAAAAAAGATAGAAGATAGACAACAGAAAACAGGGAGATAGATCTTTTACAAATGGGAAAGGGATCCAGAGATGGAAGGAGTAGAGAGGGAGGGGGAAAGAAGGACAATAAAAGAATTAAGATATGTTAAGTACATATACCTATCCCTAAGATGAGTATAAGCACCATGTACTGCAACATGTACTAATACACTTGAGCTTAGCCAAAAGGCTGAGAAGCGATAACACGTACTAATTAAAAAAAAATTTTTTTTTAAAGAATGGCCTTGTATAAGTACCTTTTTTCTCTCTAGAGCTGCCTGACCTAGCAGCCTGTGATGATGAAAACCTCCTCTGGAAGTACCATTTGCCAAAGATGGACCCGCCATTGGCTCCCAGAATAAAAGATGAACAGATGCTGGGGGAGAAGCAGGCACAGAGGGAGGGAGGGAGGGAGGGCTGATGCTAAGGCACACAGGGCCCCTGTGAGAATAGAGGGGACAGTTGGGTTTCTCAAAACATGGCTCCTTTTGGAAAGCTCATGCTTCATCCCTGTCTCCCAAAACATCCTTAAAGAAAAAAAAATCAGCTGAAAATATGAACAGAGACCACACAAGATTTTGGAAATAGGAAAGAGAAAAAGCAATGGATTCTGGGGAGGGCTTCTCTGTATTTCAGTGTTAGTTTTTGTTATGAGAATATTGGACTATCGGTTTGTGTCTTCAGGAAAAAAGTGTGGCTCAGCAAATCTGAAAAGGTCAATCTAATGTTTATCAAATCTTAATCACTCACAACTTTGATCATATTTGAATACTACCTGTAGAAAACATGAAAAAATTTTAACTCAATCCATTCTGAAGCTTGCTATTTAATGGTCATTTCAACCGAAATAGTATAGCTCTGAAAACACTTCTGATGAGGTAATCATCTTAAAATAAAACATAACCATTGATTTTTGGTTTTAAGTGCTACTTGACACTGCCTCCTATATCTCCTTGCAACCTGTACTTTAATTTGGAAATGCTAAATGCTGAGTAACCCTTGGTCTTGGTCTTCTTGGAATTAGAAATATAAGCTGATTGTAGTTCCAGGAAAATCCGCCTGATCAAAGCAAAAGACAAATGAAGGAAGGCATGCATTGGTCCTGGTGCACACCCAGCACTCTGTCACCCTGCAAAGCTGAAGCCTGCACACCGGGAGAGGTGCCCACCTGCTCTCTGTGTGTGCAGTGTCTCATGCCAGAATCATTTCCCCAGCCGAGGCCAGTTTATGCTTTTGTGGCTTTATTCTATATCTGGCCATGCTAGAAAGAAAGTGAACATGTGAAAAATACTTCCAAAAGTTTCTTTTAACCATTATACATGACTCTGAATGCAACAGGACACAAAGCCAAATCTTTAGAGGTTCCCAGGTTCTTGCCTCAGTTCTCAGAGGATGAAATGAGTTAGTACATGTGTAAAGATTAGTCGGTGCAGGCACATAGCTTGCTTGCTTACTTACTTTCTTTCTTTCATTTGTTCTTTCTTTCTCTCTCCCCCTTCCTTCATTCCTCTCTCTCTCTCTCTCTCTCTCTCTCTCTCTCTCTCTCTCTCTCTCTATCTCCTTCCATCTCTCTCTCTCTCTTTCTCTCTCTCTCTCTCTTTCTTTCCTTCTTTCTTCCTTTCCAATTCAGTCTCGCTTTGTAGTCCAGGCTGATCTTGAACTCACTATGTAGTTTAGGTTGTCCTGGAACTCATGATCCTATTGCCTCAGCCCCCTAAGTATTCTGATTATAGCATGTGTCACCATGCCTAACGGCAAACCTTTTTTTTTATTGGATATATTACAAATATTTTAGTGTTTGTAGGGCAAATAGCCATCATTGTAACTAATGAACTCTGTTGTATAAAACCAGCCAAAGACAATAGTAGGGGAAGAGAAAGGAATAAATAAATATGAGAAAAGGAAAAAATGGAAACAAGGTGTTTGTAAATAGTGAGAGGTGGAAGGGTTGAAGGGGGTAGGGGAATGGGGAAAAATAAGAACCAAGATATATCATGTAAAGGTATAAATTCCCATTGATGAGTGCCATCATATTATATGCCTAAAATGTACCAATAAAGTTAATGAATAAAACAACAATAACAAAAACAAATGGGCATGTTTGTGTTGCAATAAAACCTTATTTACTGAAATAGTTGATAGTTCCAATTTGGTTGGTGGGTGCTTGTCAATACCTGGACTAGAAAATAATCCATGCGCTATTACTGTGGCTGTGTAAATGTATTCATTGGGGAGAAGAGTACATTCAGCCCTGTACTTCTGAATGTTGATGGATACTTTGGGTACCTACAGAGTAATTCTAGACAAGAGACAGGACAGACACCCATCACATTGACCTTGCCACTCTGGATGATTGGGAGGATCTGGTGCACCACGCAAAGTTGGCAGAGGCTGAGCGATGTGGTGGTAAATTCTTTTCGAGCCTCTCTAAAGAACCAGGAACCTCTCCTCGCTTTCCTAGGATTGAACTCAGGGCTTTCCAACGGAGCTACAATCCCAGCCTTCTGTTTCAGTCTCTCCAAATGGTAGGATTACAGAATTAGCCCAGTTTAGTACAATGCCCCATGAAAATCCACTTTTATAACTTTGGGAGGAGGTTGAAAGTGAGTCATCAGGTGACTTGACTATTGATGATGACTTAGGTCATGTAAGCCAAAGGAGTTAGCAAGATGTGATAGATACAACACATAGAGATAGGACAGAGAAGTACAGGATAGAGACCTTGATTCAGACCAGGAAGAAAATAGTAATGTAAAGAAATATTTGACTACCCTCAAAATGCTACAGAGTGGTCATGTATACTTGAATGATCCAACATTAGAATTAGGTCAGAAGCCAGGGTTTTAGCCTAGTGGCGCTATGCCTGCCTTGCAAGCACAAGGTCCTGAGTTTGATCCATGGTACAGAAAAAAAAAAAAGTCAGAAAATGTTATTAGGTTTTTGCCGGTGGTGAAACCTATTGGACAGAATGCCAACACTGTTATTCAATGTTGGAAATTGTTTGTAACAGATGATATGCTATAAGATGTTTTGAAATATGCTAATAATGAAATACCAAAAAAGCACTCCATATGCATCAATAGTAATACTCAAAAATGTATTTACTGTGACACCTCACTATCTGAACTAAAAGCCTTCATAGCAGGACTTTATCATTCTAATCATCAGAATCTAAAGGATTTATGAAGAAGTGACAGATGGGGCTTTGAGAGTTTTAGAGCAATATTGACATTCAAGAAATTTGGTTTCCTTTAAAATTACCTCTGTTTTGATGTCCAAAAGACTCCCCAAGAAAGGAAAAGAATCTAATAATCTGGCTATTTACTAATCTGTCAAAAGCTTTATCTCAAACTGTTAAGCAATTTATGCACCATCTGAATACATGACAATTGATGAACAACTTGCATCATTTTGTGGTTGTTGAAGCTTTTGGCAATATATGCCAAGTAAACCTTCCCAATATGGTATAAATGGGGCTGGGGATTTGGCTCAGTGGATCTGCTGCCTGCCTCGCAAGAGTGAGGACCTGAGTTCAATCCCTGGTATCACACACACACACACACAAACACACACAGTGTTACAAATATGGTATAAAAATATTTGCTCTGGAATATGTGAAAACATTTTACACCTTAAATTTAGAAATTTATCCTGGATCTAGCCACCAACTCTTTCTTCATGCAGTGGTAAACCATATGATTCTGTGAACAGACTTGCTGCACCTATTTCAAAAAGTAATCCAAATGTCACATTGGATAATTGGTTCACGAGTTGCCCATTGACGTTATATTTGCTAAAAGAACACCAGTTGACCAGCACAGGAACTAGTCACAAGAACAACACTGAGATTCCTGAAAACATGCTGCAACTTCACAACAGAGAAAGTATAATACAATCTTTGGATTTCAGAAAGATATACCATTGGCCCCCTATGTGGTAAAGAAAAGTGAAGTAGTACCAATACTTTTGTCAACATTGCACCATGATAAGACTGACGGTGAGGCCAGGGGTGTGGTGGTGCATCCTGGAAACCCAGCACTCAGGAAGCTGAGGCAAGAGGATCTTGTGAGTTCAAGGTCAATTTGCGCTTAAGTAGTGAGTTCCAGGCTAGCTTGGACTACATAGGAAGACCCTGTCTCAAAACAAAAAGATTGATAGTGAATCCTTGTTGTGGTCCGCTGTTTGTTCTGTGGTGTTCAGTTTGGGAGCTCAGACTGGGAGGGTAAGGCGCAGAATCACCAGGCAGAATCAGGGAAGGTTCCTGGAAAGCTTCCACTTTATTTAGGAAATGCACAGACTTATACAGCTTACGTGTGGACAACCATGGGGGAGGAGCATGGGAGGAGCATTTATCTTATTGGCTAGACATGTAGTGGGGTGATTTTTCTTGGGCAAGGCAAAGGAATCGCGGACTAGGGGCGGAGGTGTAGCCTGTTAGACCCAGCGTCTACAAACTTGGGCGAGCTTGCTCAGCCTTAGCGTGGTCTTTGAGCTTGCTCGGGAGACAGGAGTGCGGCGCACCTGGCCCAGCCAGGCTTGAACTTCTCCTATAAATCCTTAACACAGATGAAACCAGAAATGGTCACATTTTACAACAAAATGAAAGGCGGAGTAGATATTATCGATGACCTGTGCAGCACCTATGTCGTCACTTGAAACACAGAGTGTTGACCAATGGTGGTGTTTTTCAGGATCCTAGACATTGCCAGGCATACAGTTTCATAGTTAACAAAGAAAATAACAAGGAAAAAATATCATGGAGACATTTTCTCAGAGGATTGGGACTGGAATTGATAAATGATCAATTACAACAGAAGAACAAAATATATCTGCCTAAAGAATCCCACAAAAAATTCTGGAACAGACAGGCGAAACATCACAAAAACCTCCTAAGAATATGAAAAGACCAGCAAGATGTCAAGTACATCCTACTAAACAAGACCGGAAAAGCAAAACACGTTATCAGTGTAAGTGGTACTCATGTATGGAACATGATGTTGTCATGTATGAAAGCTGCCTTAGGTGTGAAAATTGTGAAGTAAAAATTTGTTTTCTCTGGTAGTCTTATTTGAATGTTCATTTAGTTCACTCACATAGGAATTTATTTGGCTGTTATTTTTTAGATCTTGTAAGCAGGGAAATAGTTCATGTTACAAGTGATGTTTATTCTACACATATTATATATTTTATATTTAATATTTTATTTTATTTTTATTTATTTATTTATTTGGTACCGGGGATTGAACTCGGGTCCTTGCGCTTGCAAGGCGGGCCACCGAACCACTGAGCTAAATCCCCAGCCCTTTAATATTTTTTTTTCAGCTTTGAGTTTATTGGTACATTTTAGGGATACAGTACAGTTACATTCATTGTTGGGATCTTGTACCTCTACATGACAGGTCTTGGTTCTCATTTTTTCCCCTTACCCCTGCCCTCCCTTCACCCCCTCCTCCCCTAATATTTTATTTTATTGATATTTTTCTGTTAAGTAGGCATTGTTTAATAAAACTCATAAAGTTTAAAGAGAGAAAGGACAGATCTGTGACAGTAGGGAAGAAATGGGATTGGAAGTAATATTTAGTGAGCACCTACTTGAATGGCAAGTGTTATGTTGATTTTCACACACATTCTCCCCAACACCTTTGTAAGGAAGGTTGTGTCTCTCAGAATATGGACAGATGATGGTTGAGGATGCG